TCCATAGGTAACTAGCTTTATTTCCCCTTTTTTAACTGTAGTGTCTTTTTCACATCCATGCCTTAAAGATATTTGGCACAGACGACACATAGCTCTTATTTCCTACTTATATATATTTTTAAACTCATGAATTGGAGACGAGACCCGGACTTTGTTCCATTTTATAAAACCGATCTGTTGATTTATTGATCCTGTGCTGCAGGTAGAGAGCAGTTGTTCACCCAACGTGTGGCACTTCAAATGGATTTATATCCCAAGGTGAAGTGCACTCTGCTTTCTTTGTTTCCCTGTAGATATTTAACAGCTTAGCCAATGAGTTACCCCGCAACCTTTCCACTTTGATCCTTCTTGCTGGAAACGCACCTGAATCTGCTGCAGCTGCACAACGTTTTTCACAGCTTCTTCAGAGAGTAAACCATGTGGAAATATACCTCAAATGCACGTGTGTGAGATTAGGGTTACATGAAAGTAAATCTTACTAAGTTAGTGAAAGTGTAGTTGTTGAAATTAAGATTTAGAAATGTTCAAGAGATGATAATAATAATAATAGCTACAATGTTTATAGCGCTTTTCTAAATACTCAAAGTTGCTTTTCAAGAATACAATTCACACAAAGATGACATGAAGTAAATAAGAAACAAAGAAAAATACAGAACAGAAAGCGTTGAGTTGTGTTGATGCACGGTTTTGCAGAATGGTCCAATATCATTTTTCTTTAACTCGAGTGTCAAATTCAGATGACACGTTTTCACGAAAGCCAATCAGTGGTGAGGATCTCAGCCTGTTTTCACTGACGTTGAATCAGAAAACCATAGCACTAGCTGTTAGCACACAAAGCTAACATGCTAGCATAGAATAGAATGGGAGGGACGAAACCCTCTTTAATGGTCACACATGCAGAGCACACAGCGAAATGTGTTCTCTGCTTTTAACCCATCCTAGTACCAGGAGTCTAGTACCAGGAGTCTAGTACCAGGAGTCTAGTACCAGGAGTCTAGTACCAGGAGTCGAGGAGTCTAGTACCAGGAGTCTAGTACCAGGAGTCTAGTACTAGAAGTCTAGTACCAGGAGTCTAGCACCAGGAGTCTAGCACCAGGAGTCTAGCACCAGGAGTCTAGCACCAGGAGTCTAGTACTACAAGTCTAGTACCAGGAGTCTAGTACCAGGAGTCTAGTACTAGAAGTCTAGTACTAGAAGTCTAGCACCAGGAGTCTAGTACTACAAGTCTAGTACCAGGAGTCTAGTACTAGAAGTCTAGTACTAGGAGTCTAGTACCAGGAGTCTAGTACTAGAAGTCTAGTACTAGAAGTCTAGCACCAGGAGTCTAGTACCAGGAGTCTAGTACCAGGAGTCTAGTACCAGGAGTCTAGTACCAGGAGTCTAGTACTAGGAGTCTAGTACCAGGAGTCTAGTAGTCTAGTGCGAGGAGTCTAGCACCAGGAGCCTAGCACCAGGAGCCTAGCACCAGGAGCCTAGCACCAGGAGCCTAGAGTCTAGTACCAGGAGTCTAGAGTCTAGTACCAGGAGTCTAGTACCAGGAGTCTAGTACCAGGAGTCTAGTACCAGGAGTCTAGAGTCTAGTACTAGAAGTCTAGTACCAGGAGTCGAGGAGTCTAGTACGAGGAGTCTAGTACCAGGAGTCTAGTAGTCTAGTACGAGGAGCCTAGCACCAGGAGCCTAGCACCAGGAGCCTAGCACCAGGAGCCTAGCACCAGGAGTCTAGTAGCCTAGCACCAGGAGCCTAGCACCAGGAGCCTAGCACCAGGAGTCTAGTAGTCTAGCACCAGGAGTCTAGCACCAGGAGTCTAGCACCAGGAGTCTAGCACCAGGAGTCTAGCACCAGGAGTCTAGTAGTCTAGCACCAGGAGCCTAGCACCAGGAGCCTAGCAGTCTAGTACCAGGAGCCTAGCACCAGGAGCCTAGCACCAGGAGCCTAGCACCAGGAGCCTAGCACTAGAGTACGAGGAGTCTAGTACCAGGAGTCTAGCACCAGGAGTCTAGTACGAGGAGCCTAGCACCAGGAGCCTAGCACCAGGAGCCTAGCACCAGGAGCCTAGCACCAGGAGCCTAGCACCAGGAGCCTAGCACCAGGAGCCTAGTACGAGGAGTCTAGTACCAGGAGCCTAGTACGAGGAGCCTAGTACCAGGAGTCTAGCACGAGGAGTCTAGTACCAGGAGTCTAGTACCAGGAGTCTAGCACCAGGAGCCTAGTACGAGGAGTCTAGTACCAGGAGCCTAGTACGAGGAGCCTAGTACCAGGAGTCTAGCACGAGGAGTCTAGTACCAGGAGTCTAGCACCAGGAGTCTAGTACCAGGAGTCTAGTACCAGGAGCAGTGGGCAGCTATTGTACAGCGGTAACATGATCAGCTGCTGGTAAGCCCCTCTTACCTGTGGGGTTCCCCAAGGCTCGATTCTGGGCCCCATCCTTTTCCTACTGTACATACTGCCCCTAGGTTCAATACTCACAAAACATAACATTCCCTTCCACTGCTACGCCGACGATGTACAGATCTATCTGCCTCTCAAAGCAAATGTCTCACACTCACTACAGCAGTTGATGGACTGCTTAGCAGAGATAAAATCCTGGCTGAGCAAAAACTTCCTCAACCTCAACGAGAGCAAGACTGAGGTCATCTTTTTTGGACCCCAACCTCCAGCCTCTCCGGTTGATATTCTGGGCTCTCTCAAAAAAAACATCCTCCCCTCGGTCATGAACCTTGGAGTGACCTTCACTAGCACTTTTAAATTCGACAAGCAGGTCAGCACCGTAGTAAAATCCTGCTTTTTTAAAATAAGACTATTGGCCAAAACCAAGTCGTATTTATCTTTTAAAGACTTAGAAAGGGTTATTAACGCCTTTGTAACCTCAAGACTGGACTATTGCAACGCTCTGTGTGTGGGTATGGACCAGGCCTCAATCAAACGCTTACAGCTAGTCCAGAACGCAGCTGCACGTTTGCTGACTGGCCACAAAAAGCGTGACCACATCACCCCTATTCTGGCCTCACTACACTGGCTTCCAGTTCGGTTCAGAATTGATTTTAAAATCCTTTTATTTGTTTTTAAAGCACTAAATGGGCTGGCTCCGGCCTATATAGCTGAACTCCTCCAGCGCTACACCCCAGCCAGAGCTTTAAGGTCTGCTGACCAGCTGCTGCTGATAGTGCCCAAGACCAGGCTCAAAACCCGAGGGCACCGAGCCTTCTCAGCAGCTGGCCCGAGGCTCTGGAACACTCTGCCCCTCCATGTGAGGTCGGCCCAGACCCTAGGGGGTTTTAAATCCACTCTAAAAACTCACTTCTTCTCTCTGGCTTTCTAGTTAGAGCGGAGCACGACTCCTGACTTTTCCGTGTGTTTTATTTTTATTTTGTTTTTTAAGATATATCTGTTGTAATTTATTGTCGTTTATTGTGATTGTAGTAATGTGTTTTTATTACATGTACAGCACTTTGGCTCGACCAAAAATCGCTTTTAAATGTGCTTTATAAATAAAACCTGATTTGATTTCGATCAATAACTGCAATTGGTTTGTTGGCAGCCGCAGAAACAGTCGATTCTGTTTTTGATTTTCAATACGTCCTCTCCAGACTGCAGCCACCACATCACAGCTGTTACTCATGGTGTCAAAGTCAAAAACGCTGTTATAAAATGTACTTTAGAGGTTGTTCCAGCCGTGAAACATGTGCAGAGATTCATTAGAATAATGAACTCTGACTTCAAATAACCTGCGGATTTTAAGATCTAGTCTTTTTTTTAAGTGTTAAAGACATCAAAACAAGATGGTTTTGGTTTTATGAGATGGCTGAAAATTGGAGTTCTCTTTTTAAAATATAACTTTAAAAGGTGTTTGTAAAAAATATGCGGTTACTTTTTTGTTATTAACTTGGAACAAAGATTACATCTTAAATCAGATTGAACCGTCTATCCTGCAAATATCTGGTTTTATATCGTGTAACTTCCCGTCATGTCTTTATCTTTCCTTGTTTATTACGTTCAGTTAACGTGGTTTGCAAACCCTTACAATATTGTGGTGTCAACAGTGTTTGCAGAGAAAAACAATGGTCTCTGATCTGTTTTTGCGAAACAAAGCAGACGGAAATTATATTTGCATCACGGCAGGCATGCATTTAGTATTCAGGAGTTCACATGCTATATGAAAACAACCTTTAAAGGTCTCCTATCATGCAAAATGCACTTTTTGATGTCTCTTATACATCACCATGTGTCCCCGGTGTGTCCCCGTTGTGTCCCCGGTGTGTCCCCGTTGTGTCCCCGTTGTGTCCCCGGTGTGTCCCCGTTGTGTCCCCGTTGTGTCCCCGTTGTGTCCCAGGTGTGTCCCCGGTGTGTCCCCGGTGTGTCCCCGGTGTGTCCCCGGTGTGTCAGGAGACTCTCAAAGTGTCAGGAAATAAACCCCTCTCTCTTCTCCTCCGTACCCACATCTCTAAAAACGAGGGAACAACGGAGCTGATCCAGATTTGCTGCGTCATGACCACATTACTAAAATGTGGGCGGGCTTTACACCCACGGCCAATCAGAAACGTTGCTGTCAGAAACAATGAGACGTGTTCTGGAAGTAATATGGTCTGTGTTTACATTAGCATGCTAACACTCAGAGCTAACCTGTACTGGAGAGAGCATGTGTGAAGAAGCAGGAAATCAAAAGGAAGTCACCTTGTGGTAAACCTGAGAGAGAGAAAGAGTTTGAGCTCCATACTGTTTCAGAGAGAATCCTTGATGTGGTTTGGAACATGATATCGAGTTTCATCACGGCAGCATTTAGCTACTGACCCAGAATCCGCATTTCTCTAACAGGGCTGAAATAGAGGGATTTGAGGGATGTCTAAAATGCATGATCTGTTTGGTATTTTGAGCAAAACACATCAGACATGTTTTTTATATATTTTAATATATCTGAGACCCATTATATATGCCTAACAATAGCATAATAGGAGACCTTTAAAGAACTCTCGCCTGACTGTAGTTCCTGTTGTTTCTGCAGAGTGGAGCGATGGACGATGGGAAGCCGGTCTGGGCGCCGCACCCAGCGGACGGGTTCCAGCTGGGAACCATCGTGGACATCGGAGCCGACAGCCTCACCATCGAGCCTCTCAAGAAGGGCAAGGTGAGTGTTGCAGAGCAGGGATGCTGTTTTTTCTCTGTTGGTCCCTGAAGGCAGCATCTCTCTGTATCTCATCTCATCGTTTATGATACTTAGACATTTAGTTCAGCAGGATAATCTCCACATATTAACACCACTTTATGGTTTCTGAAGTGAAAAGCTTACGTTGGGCTATAAAGGAACTACAGCATGGTCACATGACTTCACGTCACCACCGCTAAGCTAAAGGAGGCTAATGTTGGGCTATAAAGGAACTACAGCACGGTCACATGACTTCACGTCACCACCGCTAAGCTAAAGGTGGCTAATGTTGGGCTATAAAGGAACTACAGCACGGTCACATGACTTCACGTCACCACCGCTAAGCTAAAGGTGGCTAATGTTGGGCTATAAAGGAACTACAGCACGGTCACATGACATCACGTCACCACCGCTAAGCTAAAGGTGGCTAATGTTGGGCTATAAAGGAACTACAGCACGGTCACATGACTTCACGTCACCACCGCTAAGCTAAAGGAGGCTAATGTTGGGCTATAAAGGAACTACAGCACGGTCACATGACTTCACGTCACCACCGCTAAGCTAAAGGTGGCTAATGTTGGGCTATAAAGGAACTACAGCACGGTCACATGACTTCACGTCACCACCGCTAAGCTAAAGGTGGCTAATGTTGGGCTATAAAGGAACTACAGCACGGTCACATGACTTCACGTCACCACCGCTAAGCTAAAGGAGGCTAATGTTGGGCTATAAAGGAACTACAGCACGGTCACATGACTTCACGTCACCACCGCTAAGCTAAAGGTGGCTAATGTTGGGCTATAAAGGAACTACAGCACGGTCACATGACTTCACGTCACCACCGCTAAGCTAAAGGTGGCTAATGTTGGGCTATAAAGGAACTACAGCACGGTCACATGACCTCACGTCACCACCGCTAAGCTAAAGGTGGCTAATGTTGGGCTATAAAGGAACTACAGCACGGTCACATGACTTCACGTCACCACCGCTAAGCTAAAGGAGGCTAATGTTGGGCTATAAAGGAACTACAGCACGGTCACATGACTTCACGTCACCACCGCTAAGCTAAAGGAGGCTAATGTTGGGCTATAAGGAACTACAGCACGGTCACATGACTTCACGTCACCACCGCTAAGCTAAAGGTGGCTAATGTTGGGCTATAAAGGAACTACAGCACGGTCACATGACCTCACGTCACCACCGCTAAGCTAAAGGTGGCTAATGTTGGGCTATAAAGGAACTACAGCACGGTCACATGACCTCACGTCACCACCGCTAAGCTAAAGGTGGCTAATGTTGGGCTATAAAGGAACTACAGCACGGTCACATGACTTCACGTCACCACCGCTAAGCTAAAGGTGGCTAATGTTAAGATAAAATATACAAATTGTGCATTGTAGCTTTAATGTTTTAAACTAAATATACTTCTAGAAGTGCATGAAAAGCCTCCAAACCTTTCCTTGTTCCTGGATCTCTGTGAGCGTGAGTGTCTTCCAGTATGCTTTTATCCCCTTGAGTTAATGATTGAACTTTTCCTTAATCTCACGTTGAAGAGGCTGCAGTTTTAGCAGCAATAAAGCATGGTTCCTCTCAATGATTCACCTCCAGACGCTGCACTTCCACAGACCAGAGACCAGCTGAAGTACTAAATTAATCTGCAGTCAAGTGGCTCTTCACTGCAAGACAAACGGGCTTTTCCTCGATATTTCCCCCCCTCTTTTAATTCACTTCCCTGCATCATGAGGTGCCATATCGCCCTCAGAAAAGCTTTTACTGTCAGCGTCTCCGAGGTTACCCATAATGCTCTCTGCCCATCTGGGTAATCTTCTCCCAGAATGCCTTAGTGATTGAGTGCTCTCTTTAGAAAAGGGTCCTCGCTAATTCTGGGTTATAAAACAGAGTGTGTGTGTGTGTGTGTGTGTGTGTGTGTGTGTGTGTTCAAATTCATATAAAACATACATTAAAATAGTTTATACTACAATATATATAAAATTCATATTACAATATATTATTATTTCAAAGCCTGTGTTTCAGAATTTCACTTTTTAAGAAATAACACAAGTTTTTTTCTCTGTAAACGTGATCTCTTCAGAGGATCCGACCTCAGATCAGTTTCTGGCTGCAGCATCAGAACAATGTCTCAGTGTGTGAGAGAGAGTCTGTGTGAGTGTGTGTGTGTGCATGAGAGTGTGTGCGCATGTGTGAGTGTGTCTGTGTGTGTGCATGAGAGTGTGTGTGTGTCTCTGCAGCCAGTGTGTGCCAGTGTGTGACGAAGCTGCATGCTCCCCCGTCATACATCCCACAATGCATTGCTCTTTGTCCTGTGTGTGTGTGTTGGTGTTCGAATGGATGGAAGCTCTGTTATTATTACTGTAAATATTTCAAAGCTAGCGTGAGTAATCTTGAGTGTATTTGAGACCTTTGAGCTTAGTTCTGGGTACATTCAGGAGGGCGAGAGTATATCATAATGTATGAATTCAACTGAAATCATCTTAGTTAAATGGCTCTAACAGAGAAATGTCAAAGCTAGGAAACACCTTTGAGATTGAGCAATAACTGTCATATAAGAAAAATACTGTACTGTTTTTTTTTTTATGAGAAATCGTTTCCGTTTCCCAGGAATCTCAACGGGAAATAATTAATTATTAATTATTAACGCCATAAATGATTGCATACATTTACAGTTTCTTATCTTCTCCCTTGTGATAGCTGTCAAACAATCCTTTTCTCACTTATTCTAAGAATGTACTTAACCCACTAAAAGGAGTTCTTCTCAAATAATTGACACTGTAATGAAATATATTAAAGGTCCCCTATTATCCTCCTCTTCATCAATATATCACAGGTCTCAGATATATCCAGAGCCTGCCTCTGATTGGCTGAAACCCCAAACAGATCATTGCAGCATTACCCATAATCCCCTCTGTTTCAGCCCTGTTTCCAAAGTGCTGATTCTCTGGCCGTTTCTCAATCGCGAGGATATTGGCTTCCAAGCCAATATTTCAAGGATGCTACGTCATGTTGATGAAGAAGAGACATGAAGAAGAGGGGACACATGTTGATGTAGAAGAGACATGAAGAAGAGGGGACACGTGTTGATGTAGAAGAGACATGAAGAAGAGGGGACACATGTTGATGTAGAAGAGACATGAAGAAGAGGGGACACGTGTTGATGTAGAAGAGACGTGAAGAAGAGGGGACACGTGTTGATGTAGAAGAGACATGAAGAAGAGGGGACACATGGTGATGTAGAAGAGACATGAAGAAGAGGGGACACGTGTTGATGTAGAAGAGACGTGAAGAAGAGGGGACACATGTTGATGTAGAAGAGACATGAAGAAGAGGGGACACATGTTGATGTAGAAGAGACATGAAGAAGAGGGGACACGTGTTGATGTAGAAGAGACGTGAAGAAGAGGGGACACGTGTTGATGTAGAAGAGACGTGAAGAAGAGGGGACACGTGTTGATGTAGAAGAGACGTGAAGAAGAGGGGACACATGTTGATGTAGAAGAGACATGAAGAAGAGGGGACACATGTTGATGTAGAAGAGACATGAAGAAGAGGGGACACATGTTGATGTAGAAGAGACGTGAAGAAGAGGGGACACATGTTGATGTAGAAGAGACATGAAGAAGAGGGGACACATGTTGATGTAGAAGAGACATGAAGAAGAGGGGATACATGTTGATGTAGAAGAGACATGAAGAAGAGGGGACACATGTTGATGTAGAAGAGACATGAAGAAGAGGGGACACATGTTGATGTAGAAGAGACATGAAGAAGAGGGGATACATGTTGATGTAGAAGAGACATGAAGAAGAGGGGACACATGTTGATGTAGAAGAGACATGAAGAAGAGGGGATACATGTTGATGTAGAAGAGACATGAAGAAGAGGGGACACATGTTGATGTAGAAGAGACATGAAGAAGAGGGGATACATGTTGATGTAGAAGAGACATGAAGAAGAGGGGACACATGTTGATGTAGAAGAGACGTGAAGAAGAGGGGACACATGTTGATGTAGAAGAGACGTGAAGAAGAGGGGACACATGTTGATGTAGAAGAGACATGAAGAAGAGGGGACACATGTTGATGTAGAAGAGACATGAAGAAGAGGGGACACATGTTGATGTAGAAGAGACATGAAGAAGAGGGGACACATGTTGATGTAGAAGAGACGTGAAGAAGAGGGGACACATGTTGATGTAGAAGAGACATGAAGAAGAGGGGACACATGGTGATGTAGAAGAGACATGAAGAAGAGGGGACACATGTTGATGTAGAAGAGACATGAAGAAGAGGGGACACATGTTGATGTAGAAGAGACCTGAAGAAGAGGGGACACATGTTGATGTAGAAGAGACATGAAGAAGAGGGGACACATGTTGATGTAGAAGAGACATGAAGAAGAGGGGACACATGGTGATGTAGAAGAGACATGAAGAAGAGGGGACACGTGTTGATGTAGAAGAGACATGAAGAAGAGGGGACACATGTTGATGTAGAAGAGACATGAGGAAGAGGGGACACATGTTGATGTAGAAGAGACCTGAAGAAGAGGGGACACATGTTGATGAAGAAGAGACATGAAGAAGAGGGGACACATGTTGATGTAGAAGAGACATGAAGAAGTGGATTTTAGGGGCCCTTTAAGATTTGTATTTTGAGTCCTGGCTGGACATGACTTCCTGCAGCCCGTCGTCACTGCAGAGATTACATGTTTGTCGTTGAGCTGGAATAATTCCTCCTAAAAGAACTCCTTCTTGTAGTTTTTAATCCAGTTTTTAATCCGGCTACTCGAGCAGAAAACAGACTGAAGTTACTGCGTTTAAATAACACGAGTAAAACCGTTCTGAAGGCTCTGGAACATCTGTTTAGAGGAACTAACGTGACGACTGAAGTCAAACCGTTTTTATTTACCTTGCTTTTATTCATTTTCTACGTTGAAGAAAACTTACTTAAATTCTTCATAATTATAAAAAAATATATACTATTAATAGTTATTAAAATAAAAACATTAAAGGGGACCTATCATGCAAAATGCTCTTTTGTACGTCTTTTCTACATGAATATGTGTCCCCGGTGTTCCAGGGAACTCACCAAGTGTCAGAAAACACAACCCTCTCTATTTTCCTCCATACCCAAATCTCTAAAAAAGGGGCTGCAACGGATCTGATAAAAACTGATCCAGATTTGAACACTGTCCTGACGTCAGGACGGTGGCGCTACGGCTATTGGGCCAACTCCACCAATCAGGAGGAGACAGCCACGGCCATTGCCGTTCGAAAGTGCTGGAGACGCTGTAGTACATATGCCAGGCCTGTAGGTGGTGCTGTTCTCACTGAATCTGCCCAGAGCTAGAAATTGTCAAATTGAGCAAAATGAGGCATGGCTAAAATGCATGATCTGTTTGGTATTTTGAAAAAAAAAAAGTATAAATATGCCTTGTATAGGTATGGTCCTACACTATATTATTCAAATATAGCATGATAGGTCCACTTTAAATAAATAAAATCATAAAATAATATTATTTATCTTGACTTTAATTTCTTTGTTTTCTCTGCAGCCCTTTGTGGCTGCTATCAACCAGGTGTATCCTGCGGAGGACGACGTCAACAAGCATGTGGAGGACAACTGTACGTTGGTTTTCTTAACTCTTAATTCCCTGTAAAACCACAAATAACTAGGATTCAAAAAAGATGTATCCACTAGATGTTCTTCTCTCTCTAATGTTACAGCCTTGTTGCATCGGACATACGTTTGACATCTGATTCAAATGAACATTTCTGCTGTTTTTAAGAATCTAACTTCTAATAAATGTCCTTTTCCGTCATGATTCATAGATGTGTTTATTAAGGCTGTATTTGATAAAAGTGAAAGACACTTAACATAGTGTTATATATTCTTAATGTTTGTGGGTAAATAACATATTTCTAAGTCTGTGTTTGACCTCCATATCACATTTTGTTTCCCAGGTTCTCTGATGTACTTGAATGAAGCGACGCTGCTGAATAACGTCAGAGTGAGATACAGCAAAGAGAAGATCTACGTGAGTCTTTAGATCATGTCGTATTTCCAGAAGCGTAGAAAGACCTTCTTGATGTTGCTTTTACAATTATTTAACTCGGATACAAATATTCTCTGCATTAAATCTGACCGTTATTATTATGTTTGATAATTAAGAGCGACTTCACGGTCAAAAAATATCCGGATTTTCCACTAATATCCTAGCTTTCTGAATATCACACACACACACACACACACACACACACACACACACACACACACACAGTGTCAAAGACACACACACACACACACACAGTCAAAGACACACACATACAGTCAAAGACACACACATACAGTCAAAGACACACACATACAGTCAAAGACACACACACACACAGTCAAAGACACACACACACACACACACAGTCAAAGACACACACACACACACACACAGTCAAAGACACACACACACACATACAGTCAAAGACACACACACACACACACACACACACACACACACACACACATACAGTCAAAGACACACACACACACACAGTCAAAGACACACACACACACAGTCAAAGACACACACACACACACACATACAGTCAAAGACACACACACACACACACAAAGTCAAAGACACACACACACACACACACACAGTCAAAGACACACACACATACAGTCAAAGACACACACACTCACATACAGTCAAAGACACACACACTCACATACAGTCAAAGACACACACACTCACATACAGTCAAAGACACACACACACAGTTTTCTTTTGATCTTGATTATGTGACATGATGTTATTCCTGAGTGCACGCTGACATCTAGTGGCTGAAGAGGGAACTGTCTCTGTTCAGATCTATGAGAGGCCTCCCTTTTTCTCTTTTTCATATAGAAATGTGTATATTTATAAATGTCTTAATACAGAGAAGTTATTAAGGAGTCATGCACCGGCTCTTCTTCAAAACAAATATATATTTATTCCACTGTTTTTGCTAAAAGCAGGAATTTTAAACCATTATCTTTGCTTTAGGATTGTGGGAAATGTAGGAGAACACAGGTTATACACATAGCATGATGATATGGAATTGTTTACCTTCCTCTTCCTCCTCTTCCTCCTCCAGACGTTCGTAGCTAACATCCTGATCGCAGTGAATCCGTACTATGACATCCCGAAGCTTTACTCACCGGAAACCATCCAGAAGTACAGAGGAAGATCTCTGGGAACTCTGCCACCTCATGTTTATGCTATAGGTGAGACTCGCTCACTCGCTCGCTCACTCGCTCTAATCAAATCAAATCAGGTTTTATTTATAGAGCACATTTAAAAGCGATTTTTGGTCGAGCCAAAGTGCTGTACATGTAATAAAAACACATTACTATAATCACAATAAAAGACAATAAATTACAACAGATATATCTAAAAAAATAAAATAAAATAAACACAAGGAAAAGTCAGGAGTCGTGCTCCGCTCTAACTAGAAAGCCAGAGAGAAGAAGTGAGTTTTTAGAGTGGATTTAAAAAACCCTAGGGTCTGGGCCGACCTCACATGGAGGGGCAGAGTGTTCCAGAGCCTAGGGCCAGCTGCTGCGAAGGCTCGGTGCCCTCGGGTTTTGAGCCTGGTCTTGGGCACTACCAGCAGCAGCTGGTCAGCAGACCTTAAAGCTCTGGCTGGGGTGTAGCGCTGGAGGAGTTCAGCTATATAGGCCGGAGCCAGCCCATTTAGGGCTTTAAAAACAAATAAAAGGATTTTAAAATCAATTCTGAACCGAACTGGAAGCCAGTGCAGTGAGGCCAGAATTGGGGTGATGTGGTCACGCTTTTTGTGGCCAGTGAGTAGACGTGCAGCTGCGTTCTGGACTAGCTGCAGGCGTTTAATTGAGGCCTGGTCCATACCCACATACAGAGCGTTACAATAGTCCAGTCTCGAGGTTACAAAGGCGTTAATAACCCTTTCTAAGTCATTAAAAGATGAATACGACTTGGTTTTGGCCAATAGTCTTATTTAAAAAAAGCAGGATTTGACTACGGTGCTGACCTGCTCACTCACTCACTCACTCACTCACTCTCTCTGATGCATACATATGTCAGTGTTTACTGTAACTCTCTTCATTTCCCTGGTGTGTGACAAGTTAATGACTTTTGTATATATGTGTGTGTGTGTGTGTGTGTCAGCTGATAAGGCGTACAGGGACATGAGGGTCCTGAAGATGAGTCAGTCCATCATCGTCTCCGGAGAGTCTGGAGCCGGGAAGACGGAGAACACCAAGTTCGTGCTCAGGTAACCATGACGGTGCATTTGTATGCTGCGTTCACACTAGTGTTCATTTCGTTGACTAAAACTATGACGAAATATGTTCGTCAACGACCTTTTCATCCATGACTAAAACGAGACGATGACGAGACGGCACCGACGGCAGTAAACAATAACTGTAACGAAATCAACATGCAATATCGTTGACGAAAAGTGAGGAGACGAAAATGTAGTTTACTAAATAAAAACTTTGCCAAAATCTCTCTTTACTTTCGTTGACGAAAAAATGAGGAGACGAAATATTATCAAAGATAACGTAACATCTCTGATAGTCAGCTTTTCTCCCAGCAGTTCCATTTCCGGTGCTGCGGCTGGGTGCAGCTGTGTGTCTGTGCTGCGGCTGGGTGCAGCTGTGTGTCTGTGCTGCGGCTGGGTGCAGCTGTGTGTCTGTGCTGCGGCTGGGTGCAGCTGTGTGTCTGTGCTGCGCGCGGCGGTACATTTGAATTACACCGGGCAGCGGCACACTGTGAACAGTCAGGAAGACTTGGGTCTAACTCCTGGTCTAACTCCTGGTCTAACTAACCTTATTTAACAGAAAGGAAAATGGCAACAACAGGGCTTGGGAGCAGTGGTCGCGTTAACCGAATACCCCCCGTCCCCCGTCAGCGCAAGTGAGTGACGAGTTGTGTACAGACTCGACGGGTAATAATGGATTATGACGGAAATGTTACGATCCTGTCCGTCAAAATGACTGACAACGAAAAAGTCTAAAGCCACCACTGCTTGGGAGAAAGAAACGATGTGATATTTGGGCCCATTTTCTCCAATTAGGCGGAGAGAAAAAGCGAATGCATTGTTTTATCAGAAGGGAAGCAATGTGGCCATACACAGGTAAAACACCACAAAGCTGACCAGATACTCTCTGCAAAGCTGCTCTCTTAATCATTCAACCTGTGGGTTTCATCAAATAAGGACAAGATATAATCTTATTGTGAAATAAGTTTGACTAAAATGACAAATTGTTGGTTTTGGCTAGACTAGTTTGACTGAAATGTTCAATTTAATCTGATGACTTAAAAAGACTCATCAGTTTTCTTTGACTAAAATAAGACTAAAATGCTCAGACTTTTAGTCGACTAAAACTTGACTAAATAAAAACAGGATGAAGGTGACTAAATATGGCTAAAACTAAAAAGGACATTTAACACAGGACTCAGACTAAAACTAAATAAAAAAAATAGCTGACAAAATTAACACTAGTTCACACCAAGACTCTAATCGCTCGAGTTTCACGGCGGCTGTCAGCTGTGTTTCCTCGCCTCATTCAAACAGGACAACGAGGAGGCGGAGCTTATCTCCATTTAGATACTGTGGTAGAAACCAACTGCAACAAAATGAACATATTTGACCGTGATTTATTTGTTAATACACGTTTCAAAATGATGCCGAAGTAACAACATACTGATACCGGTTTGTAAATACTAGTAATTAATGTGTGTGTACACAAGATGGCAGATGAAACCTTTTAAAATGCGTGTTTTTCTGAATGGAGATCTGATCGATCATGCTAAGCTAACATGTAGCTGCTCCGTCCAAACTCACATCGGCCTACAGACAGAAATAAAGACACAGACAGTCTGTGTTTGGTTCGTGTTTAACTTTTGTCTAGTTTCTGAACAGATAAGAGGAGCTGTGAGTGCTAACAGCTAACAGCTAACGGCTGATGTTTTAGTTTTCTGATTCAGGCTGACCGCTGATTGGCTAACGCGAGAACACGTCACGCAAATTTGACGCTCGAGTTGAACAAATGTAACTCTTGGGATTGACGCCTCCTTCAATCGCATCATCTTTGCATTGACTTTACATGGAATCACGACACGCCCAGAAATCGCACCGCGTCCGGTGTGAACGCACTCCAATTAAAATATACCAAGTTCGTGCTCAGGGTAAACATGATGGTGCATTTTTAAAACTCCTTGTATCTACTTTTTGTTTCTCCTCTCAGATATTTAACATCCTCGTACGGGACGGGTCAGGACATCGACGAGAGGATAGTGGAAGGTACGATCACTTCTTCTTCTTGTTAAATAAATACAGTTAGATTCTTTCTTCAGTATGGAGTGACGAACTGACTGACATTCTCCCGTGGGTCAAATTGACTGTTATATTTATTTTGAAGACAAGTTGCTTTTGTTAGTTTCCTAAATGATGTTTATCCACCTCGGTTACTTTTGAACGTTCCTTTTTTTTGTGGACCATGTTATAGAAAACCCGAAGTGGACCTTTTTGGATTTAATTGCGAGCTGTGGGATGAGGGTTTGTTTTGTGGGGTATTTGAAATATACTTGCTATTCGTGATACAGAATAATCTGGAGTTGTCTTTTCTTATTTTCTAATGTCATTCAATGTTGCAGTGAGTTGTAAACACCTCAGTGCCGACTCACTCAACTCTGACTATAAACAGCTGTCAGGAGAGAGACCTGACTGGCACCCCAAAGGAAAATCAGTGTGTGTGTGTGTGTGTGTGTGTGACGCTCCTCTGTTTCCCTGCAGCCAATCCGCTGCTGGAAGCTTTCGGGAACGCCAAAACGGTCCGAAACAACAACAGCAGCCGCTTCGGGAAGTTTGTGGAAATCCACTTCAATGAGAAGGTACTTTAAACGTTATTATAAAAGAATAGAAAAGGGTCTTTATTTGTCTCCTTGAATCCCTCCAGATGAGCAGCCATGAATTAAAGATGACGCCTAATAGCTTTTTATAGCTTTATACATTTATAATAAATCATAATAGTAAATAAACACAATATTCCCTCTTTGATCTCAAAACAAACGAGAGGTTCAGTTTCTGCAGATTCATCATCTTTAGAACCAGCTTTGAGAACTCTTTCATGATCAATCATTATAAAACATATCATATATATTATTCTGAAATGGACCAATCAGCACAATGACTACTTTCACTGTAACAGAGTATTCCTACACTCTGGTACTTCTACTTTTACTCAAGTACAAGATCTGAGTACTTCTACTTTTACTCAAGCACAAGATCTGAGTACTTCTACTTTAACTCAAGTACAATATCTGAGTACTTCTACTTTTACTCAAGTACAAGATCTGAGTACTTCTACTTTACTCAAGTACAAGATCTGAGTACTTCTACTTTAACTCAAGTACAAGATCTGAGTACTTCTACTTTTACTCAAGTACAAGATCTGAGTACTTCTACTTTAACTCAAGTACAATATCTGAGTACTTCTACTTTAACTCAAGTACAAGATCTGAGTACTTCTACTTTTACTCAAGCACAAGATCTGAGTACTTCTACTTTAACTCAAGTACAATATCTGAGTACTTCTACTTTTACTCAAGTACAAGATCTGAGTACTTCTACTTTTACTCAAGTACAACATCTGAGTACTTCTACTTTTACTCAAGTACAAGACCTGAGTACTTCTACTTTTACTCAAGTACAAGACCTGAGTACTTCTACTTTTACTCAAGTACAAGATCTGAGTACTTCTACTTTTACTCAAGTACAAGATCTGAGTACTTCTACTTTTACTCAAGTACAAGATCTGAGTACTACTACTTTAACTAAAGTACAGATCTGAGTACTTCTACTTTGACCAAAGTACCACAGTTCTCTCTCTGCTCGTTTTGATGGTATTTACTCTAAGTGTGTTTTTGATGGTATAAAGTGTGTTTTTGATGGTATAAAGTGTGTTTTTGATGGTATTCTGTGGTACTAAGTGTGTTTCTGCCCCAGAACACGGTGGTGGGGGGCTTCGTGTCTCACTACCTGCTGGAGAAGTCGAGCGGATCTGCAGGCAGGGTCCGGAGGAGAGGAACTATCACATCTTCTACCGCCTCGTGTGCCGGAGCCTCGGAGGAGATCAGAGAGAAATACCAACCTGAGCTCACCTGACACCACTTCAGGGGTACAAATACTACACTGCAGTACACACTATACTCACTACAGTACATATATCAGAGAGAAATACCACCTGAGCTCACCCTGGACACCTTCATGGGTACAATACTACTACAGTATAGCTACACAGTACACTATATTCCAGTACAGGTAAAGTACATTACACTGTAGTATACTACACTGTAGTATACTACACCAAAGTATACTACACTAAAGTACATTACATTACACTACAGTATACAGTACACTAAAGTACATTACATCACAGTACACTATATATATATATATATATATATATATATATATATATATATATAAAATTATCTTGAGATGTAAAACCTTTGGGATGTTTTTATCTTCAGACGTTGTTTCTGTGTTTCCTCCCTGAGTTGATGGAGAAACATCTGTTCTCTGCAGGAGACATCTGCGTCTGAGAGACACACACACACACACACACACACACACACACACACACACACACACACACACACACACACCCGTCTCTTTATCTCGTCTCCTGCACACTGAGTCACTTGTTTAGAAACCAGGCAGGAGGAGAAGTGAGAAGTTGAAGAAGGGCACGAGCTAAATATAGAAAGAAGGGAAAGGTAGAAGGAAATGTTTTAAAGGCAAGAAGGAAGCATAGGAACCAAAGAGTAGGGAGGGAGGGAAGGAAGGAAGCATAGGAACCAAAGAGTAGGGAGGGAGGGAGGGAAGGAAGGAGGGAAGCATAGGAACCAAAGAGTAGGGAGGGAGGGAGGGAAGGAAGGAAGCATAGGAACCAAAGAGTAGGGAGGGAGGGAGGGAAGGAAGGAGGGAAGCATAGGAACCAAAGAGTAGGGAGGGAAGGAGGGAAGGAAGCCTAGGAACCAAAGAGTAGGGAAGGAGGGAAGGAAATACAGAATAAAACACATATGAAAGGAGAGGTAGAAGGACATTTAAAAAAAGGCTTGAAGTAAAAACAGAGACCAACGAGGAGAGGAAATAAAGGAAGCGTAAAAACTGAGACGTGTTCTTTCTGATTTGAGAAGATCTCTTCATTTCTGTGTTTATCACAAAAACATTAAATGATATTTACATTCAACAATAATCCAGCAGAGGGCAGCGCTGAGCTACAGATACACAGAGTACTCAGGTCTGGTACTGCAGATACACAGAGTACTCAGGTCTGGTACTGCAGATACACAGAGTACTCAGGTCTGGTACTTTAGTAGAAGTAGAAGTACTCGGATCTTGTACTTGAGTAAAAGTAGAAGTACTCGGATATAGTACTTGAGTAAAAGTAGAAGTACTCAGATCTTGTACTTGAGTAAAAGTAGAAGTACTCAGATCTTGTACTTGAGTAAAAGTAGAAGTGCTCAGATATAGTACTTGAGTAAAAGTAGAAGTACTCAGATCTTGTACTTTAGTAAAAGTAGAAGTACTCAGATCTTGTACTTGAGTAAAAGTAGAAGTACTCAGATCTTGTACTTGAGTAAAAGTAGAAGTACTCAGATCTTGTCCTTGAGTAAAAGTAGAAGTACTCAGATCTTGTACTTGAGTAAAAGTAGAAGTACTCAGATCTTGTCCTTGAGTAAAAGTAGAAGTACTCAGATCTTGTACTTGAGTAAAAGTAGAAGTACTCAGATCTTGTACTTGAGTAAAAGTAGAAGTACACTCAGATCTTGTACTTGAGTAAAAGTAGAAGTACTCAGATCTGGTACTTGAGTAAAAGTAGAAGTACTCAGATCTGGTACTTGAGTAAAAGTAGAAGTACTCAGATCTGGTACTTGAGTCAAAGTAGAAGTAATCCAGCATGT